TTTATCCTGGACCTCATATCCATAAAGGGCTGACAATATAGATTTTTAATATTATCTCCAAATGATATCCTATATACAGTCACAAAGATATACTTCTAGGATTCAACCTCAAAGCACAGCACAATTTTTATAATCCTGTTTTGGCAATTTAAAAAATATACGTACAAGTCCTCCAACTGCCACCCATGGATATGATCTGGGTCTCTCCTATTCCCTGTGGGCATTTAAGAGAAGGCAAATAAGCCAGTTGTTAGACCTTCCCTCACAGAATGTATTGCTTAATAAAGAGAAAGGTGTCAAACAAGGAATATACCAAACTGTTCTTTGTAGTTGCCACAGGGGAGGAGAGAAGCATGACATATGAGGCTGGGCTGTTAAGCAAAGCTTTCACTCACTCTGAAGTGTTGGAATTTTTACAATATGCACATATCCATGTATTCCCTGTATAGTCATTATCAGTTTCTCTATCAGGGACATCAGTAAGAGAAGAGCCAAGAAAGGGACCAGAGGACAAGCTGGCCCCAAATGAGGCAGATCCCAATGCTGAGGCAGGGAGAATGGGTGAAACATCAAGTTGCCAGAAGTGACTGGGTTGTTCTGAGGATAAAATCACTGCACACAACACTGTGGTGACCATCCTCTGCAGGCCCCATGGGAAGTACTGCTAGGCCTGGACACAAGGCTTCCTTCCCCTCCCTGGGCTCTCTACTGGGTTCAGTCACCTAATGACCTTACAAATGGAAAAACTTACATTCAAGGATTGAGTAACGTGGATGGTGTGTTACTCTTGCCCTGATTCAAAACTTGTCTTTTCATGGAAAGCAATAAATCTTATCTATAGATGACAAATGCCCCTCAGCTGAATCACATTTATCTTGTCTAGACTGAAATGTCTCAGGCCAGGTGCGGTGGCTCACCCCTGTAATCCCAGCACTTTGGGAGACGGAGGCAGGCGGATCAAAAAGTCAGGAGTTCAAGACCAGCCTGGCCAACATGTTGAAACCCCATCTCTACTAAAAATATAAAAGTTAGCTGGGTGTGGCAGTGTGCATCTGTAATTCCAGCTACTGGGGAGGCTGAGGCAGGAGAATCTCTTGAACCCGGGAGGCAGAGGTTGCAGTGAACCGAGATCTGAGATCTCACCACTGCACTCTAGGCTGGGCAACAAAGCAAGACTCTGTCTAAAAAAAAAATGTCTCATCTCCATTTTGTCAAATTGTGCCTTGTCCAATACAGTTAACCTCATAATCCACAGAGACACCACACAATTCCATGAACAGAGCAGCCCCTGCTAACCAGCCCTCCCTCTGAGGAAAGCCTGAACATGTATAAGCAATCTCAAGCCATGCCAGGGAAATAAGAACAGATATAATGGAAACCATGTTAGCATGTCAGTGCATAGCCTGCTGTTGACAGACTGAGCAGTCATCAGCAGTCATATGCCAAATTTAGGAGTCAAAATGTTTCCTTACACTGTCATTGTTTTCAATTTTCTGATTATATTTTGAGATACATTCAGATGGCACGGCTTTACAGAACAGAGGTATGACCAGTGACTGATCATTCGATAATGCTTTTAATCAGAGTGATTATATGTGAGTGTACAAATGTGTGTATGTTTGTATGTGTGAGTACTATTTTGTTTTAGTATGACAGGTGCCCTCTTTGGCATGCACAGTTGTTACGGGTATGTGCACATGTAAAGCCAGCATAGAGAAACACAATCAAATGAAACTCTGCAGGAGGTGGAAAAGTAGCAGAGGAATGGCTTTCTGCAGGGGATGTCACGTCTGAGCTCTGTTCTGAGAGGTCAATGAGAGCTTGCATGGCAGATAGTGTTGCCAGAAAAAATAAAGACACCCAGTTAAATCTGAATTTCATAAAAACAGTAAATGACTTTTTAGTATAAGTATGTCTCAGTGAGTGTTCTGTATTTTTATTTGAGAAGACATGCAATTCTAATGGTGGGAGAGGGACAGATGTGTATGCCAACCATCTTTCCTTGTCATGAACATTGTCAACATCAGCATCTATTAACATTTAAAGAACAAGGGGAATGAGGTCCACACTCTTGGGAAACCCTAAGAATTCCTCCTCCAGCCTAGGGAAACCCTAAGAATTCCTCCTCCAGCCTAAAACACACAGAACACAGCTGCTTCTTCAACTACAGGCTCCTTGAGATCATGCACTACACTTTATTCCTCCTGCTTCAGGACCTAGGCCAGTGCCTGGGATGTTGTAAACAATAAAGGTACATTTTTGGATAAATGAAAATATAATATGGAATTACAGTAAAGGAAGAAAATTTGGGGTAAGAGGGCTAAAATTGACAAAACTGTGCATGGCCGAAAATACAGGCAACTTCAAGATGAACGGGAATAGCCAAATGTACAGCCATCTCCAACACCAGTGAGCAGAACTTACCACAGTAGTAAGGCAACTGAACAACCTTTTAGCTTGGTTGGTATCACTGAACTGTGTCAAACTAGTGAAAAGTATACTAAGCGCCAAGGGCAATTTCAGGGAAGTGTGGGAGTGCACTCAGCTGGGACTCAATTGTATTAATTATACAATTATCTATTTTTTAAAACCCATATTTAAGGAGTCCAAGACATTGTAAACCCAAAATGGGGAATAACTGTTCTAACTGGAACAGTTCAAGAAGTTTTAGGTAGAGAAATTAAATGAGATATGTAAGAAGCTATGGACCTCAGAAAGGCTTTGCACTTTATAGAACCCGTGTGTGTGTGTGTGTATGTGTGTGTGTGTGTGTGTGTAATTATAAATACATGTATACAAATATAAACATATTTTTAATGATAAGCTGCAAGAATAGTATATTCCCACATACTGTATGTTATNAAAAACCATCCCTGCCAGGTGTGGTGGCTCACGCCTGTAATCCCAGCACTCTGGGAGTCCGAGGCGGGTGGATCACGAGGTCAAGAGATCGAGGCCATCCTGGTCAACATGGTGAAACCCCGTCTTTACTAAAAATACAAAAAATTAGCTGGGCATGGTGGCGTGTGCCTGTAATCCCAGCTACTCAGGAGGCTGAGGCAGGAGAATTGCCTGAACCCAGGAGGCCGAGGCTGCGCCATTGAACTCCAGCCTGGGTAACAAGAGCAAAACTCCATCTCCAAAAAAAAAACCATCCCTGACTGGACTAGAGAGGCCTCAAAAGAGTCCCATTTAATCATGTGGAAGTACTTCCTCCCTGTATTCAATTTTTGAAAGAGTTAAAAAGAGGCTGGGCACAGTGACTCATGCTATACCAGCACTCTGGGAGGCAGAGGTAGGTGGATCACTTGAGGTCAGGAGTTTGAGAGTTTGAGACTAACCTGGCCAACATGACGAAACCCAGTCTCTACTGAGAATACAAAAATTAGCCAGGCATGATGGTGTGCTCCTATAATCCCAGGTACTCAGGAAGCTGAGCCATGAGAATTGCCTGAATCAGGAAGAAGAGGTTGCAGTGAGCCAAGATTGCCCATTGCACTCCAGCCTGGACAACAAGAGCAAAACTCCATCTCAAGAAGAAAAAAAAGTAGTCATCCAGTTGCTCTTACTGTATTGTGCCACAGTTTAAATATGTTTGTCCCCCACAAACCTCATGCTGAAATCTGATCCCCAATGATGGAGGTGGGGCCTATAGGAGGTCCTTGGGCAGATCCCTCATAAATGGCTTGCTGCTATTGTGGTAATGAGTGAGTTCTCCTTTATTAGCTCCCATAAGAGCTGGCTGTTAAGAAGAGCCTGGCACTGCCCTCCTCCCACCTGCCACACTGCTTCCTCTCACCATACACACTGGCTTCCCTTCCCCTTCCACCAAAAGTGGAAGCAGCCTGAGGCCCTCACCAGAAGCAGACGCTGGTGTCACACTTTTGTACGTCTGCAGAACCATAAGCCAAATAATCCTTTTTCTTTGTGAATTACCCAGCCTCAAGTACTCTTTTATAGCAACACAAACAGACTGAGACATATTGTTAACAAAAATGAACGAGGATTCATTTGGCAAAAGCTTTTTTAGCAGTAAAGTAAAACTCAGCCAAATCCCTCTTTTACAATGCACTTTTCCCATAGAAAATAATTATTGCAACCAAATTTACCTCTCTTGGGAGGAGACATTCTAATCAGACCCCCTCTTTACTAAAAATATACCTGAGTCATTTACACTGCTGTTCCTCTTGGCATAAGCACTCCGAAGCACCTGCTCATAAACCTGAGCACCGATTGTTCTCACGTTGTCCCGGATCAGAATGCCTTGAGCTTGCATCATGAAGAGGTAGGTGTTCACTGCAGAAGCAAAAGGGAAGGAGAAAAAGAGGCAGATTCAGAAGCAATCATTTAAAAAAAATGTACCACATACCTTTGGATTATTTTTCTTTTTGGACCTTTAAATCCTCTTTCAGTTCTTTTAAAACCCTACACGGCCATAACTCTATTTTCCATACCCTTCAGGACACAAACATCCTTTGAGTAGCTAGTAGGGTTTAGCCAGAAATTGAATTTGAATTTCTGTCAATATTCAGCAGTTCCAGAAAAACCATAAACTTAAAAAAATATACTCCTTCTGGTCTCCAAATACCCAGTCTGTATTCTAGCATTCTGTTCATCAGAAAGACCTTCATAAATTAGTTAAAACCTTTTTTTTTTTTTTTTTTTTTTTTTTTTTTTTGGTGAGTCAGAGTCTTGCTCTGTCGCCAGGCTGGAGTGCAGTGGTACGATCTCGGCTCACTGCAACCTCTGCCTCCCGGATTCAAGCAATTCTCCTGCTTCTGTCTCCCACGTAGCTGGGACTACAGACACGTGCCACCACACCCAGCTAATTTTTGTATTTTTAGTAGACATGGGGTTTCATCATGTTGGCCAGGATGGTCTCAATCTCTTGACCTTGTGATCCAACCACCTCGGCCTCCCAAAGTGTTGGGATTACAGGCATGAGCCACTGCGCCCGGCCTAGACAAGAGCTTTTTAAGCCAGCTTTTCAGTCTGCCATGTTTGTGGAACTGTGGTTATTTATCATTCTACAATGGCTTAATTGCAAATTTATGTATATCTTTTTTTTAAAGATGATATAATAAGCTAGCTTTGTTTAATGACAACCCATTTTAATTTACTGGAGAAAATAATCCATTTGTCTTAACCATACTCAGAGGAAAGTTATTTGGGCAAATAAAGTAAAAACCATAAATGATGGATAGCCATCATTACCACAGTAACATTGGTCCAGCTAGGAATCAGCTTGGTTAAATGAGTGACCTCCTACTCACATACCTCCTCAATGCACAACAAACATAGGAGCAAACAAAAGCCTTTACAGAATCCAGAATCACCAGGCAAGAAGAAATAATAATTAAGCAAAAATTTTAAAATACTACCTTTAAAAAAAATGATACTACAAGAGAGAAATTAATGAGTTAGAAAGATATTCTCAAATATAAAGCCCACTCCAGGACTTTTAAGGAAGATATCAGAGGCATATGGAAGGCCAAGTCCAGGATGGATTTAACTGAAGAAAAGGATATTTAGAGAATATCAACATTTTCTAATGCAACAGAAAACCAAGCCAGCTTAGTCTTCTACTTAGTAAGTGTCATGCTAAATTGACCAACTTTATTCTTCAACTTTCTGAGGATCCAGAAAAATCAAACAAAAAAGAGAAAATATCCAAAGATAGAAGTGTACTTTAACAAAATCAGAAAAACCTAAATTATATTGGGCTCTGGTGACTCAGCAATCAAATAATCAAAGGCATTTAGTCAATGTCTATGGTTAGCTCAATGAGAGCGGATGTTTAGCTATAGCGCCAGGTACAAAAAATATATTTTCATGAAGGCTCACTCCCTCATATGATGAGTGAGTGAGTGAGTGAGTGAGTGTATAGACTCACAGCTTTTGGCTTTCTGAAATTCCCTACATCAGTCTTGTTATGATGATTCCTTAGTGCTGGGATGGATCATCCAGCCATGTAAGGTAACACAATAACACTTTGCTCATTTAAAAAAAAAAAAAAAGTTATGACTTCCAAACTCAGCATAGTCACCCAAAGTAAAAAAAAGAAAAAAAAAAAATAAATAATAAGCCTCAGAGGCAAAGGAAAGGGGCCGTCAACCTTGGTAACTATAAAATGACGAATGAGAAAACTCCTCCTGCTGAAGACACTCACATATATAAAGGGAAGGAATACTTCAAATATCATTGCCAAATCTACATCTTCTGGATTTTTTAGCTTGAAAAAAAAAAATGAGCACCAAACCTGATATGATTCAAAAGTGTTTGTGGCTTGAGTTCCTTGTGGGTCTGTTCATTGCTGGCACTCTGTCTCTGGACTGTAACTTACTGAATGTTCACCTGAGAAGAGTCACCTGGCAAAACCTGAGACTTCTCAGTATGAGTAACTCATTTCCTATAGAATGTCTACGAGAAAATGTAGCTTTTGAGTTGCCCCAAGAGTTCCTACAATATACCCAGCCTATGAAGAGGGACATGAGGAAGGCCTTCCACGAAATGTCCCTACAGGCCTTCAACATCTTCAGCCAACACACCTTCAAATCCACTTGGAAAGAGAAACACCTCAAACAAATCCAAATAGGACTTGATCAGCAAGCAGAGTATCTGAACCAATGCTTGGAGGAACGGGGGAATGAAAATGAAATCATGAAAGAAATGAAAGTGGATGAGATGAAACCCTCAGAAGCCAGGGTCCCCCACCCGAGCAACCTGGAACTGAGGAGATATTTCAACAGGATAGACAATTTCCTGAAAGAAAAGAAATACAGTGACTGTGCCTGGGAGATTGTCCGAGTGGAAATCAGAAAATGTTTGTACTACATTTACAAATTCGCAGCTCTACTCAGGAGTAAATAAGGTATATTTTGGGAATTGAAATTCCTGTTCCCTCCGAAATCCCTTTCTCCTTCTCTTCCTCCATCTTCTAAGGATTATTGTGCTATTCCGCAAGCCTGTCCTCAGTTGGATTGGTGGCCTGGGAACATAAGGGACATTCACTTCTCTAAGGAGAGGTAATTCCAACCATTCTCCTTGTGACCAAGAGTCTTGTTAGAAAGTTTTTAAGACAGGTTTAAAGGAATAAGATTTCCTTTCCATCTTCTATTGTCTCTTCCTCTTTTCTTTGGCCATTTTGAAAGAGCTTTGCTGTACCACCTGTGAACTTCACCAAGACAAAGGCTAGAGGATAGGGAGCACAGAATGTTGCAAAATGGTAACATTTGAATGACTTAACTGTTTTGCTGTCAGTGTTGTTTATCCTTTGAAAATTCAGCACTGTAAAAGAGCTTATACATGCTCCCTAGAGTCCATACCTTTGCTTTTCTCCCCTCCTGCTCAGAGAAAAAAGGTTGACATTTCTGGCCCATTTGCTTCTCAGCTCAGTTTGTTTTAATTGATGCTGTTTGTAGAATGGTATTTCATTATTTTAACAGAGTGAAGATCCATAGTGAAATTGGAGGAACGGTTCAATTAGATGACCATTAAGCTCTCATTTAACCTTTGAGAGCCCATGATTCTAATGCAGCACACTCTTCACTCCTGATGTACATTGTTTGATGACTGCACCTACAGGCATGGAAAATGCTGCAGAAAAGTATATAGTACAGCATCTGTCTTTCACTGTTTTTTATGTGCCTGAAATAAAATGTCCAGAGTCATAATATGGAACAATTTTACATTAGATTTTCCTAGTTAGAAGATTACATTCTGTGAGTTAATTTAACTAGCTATTCCAATAATACATGATACTTTAATATCTTCTATCTTTTTAAAAGTTATTTCGCAGCCAGATTACCTAGATTATTTACTTTTCTTATATGGCCCTTCATCGTATTAATTCACCACCTAACTCAGATGGATTTTCTCTTCCTTTCTCTCCTCTACCCCATTTCAGAACCATCTACCTTCAAGCAAGAATTAACAGAGACTGTGGCTACGCAAATGCACAAAAAAGGGTGAAAGGTACCTGGTTCTGCCTTTGGAAGCCATTTCCTGCTCCTGCCATAAAGAGCATGCTGCCGAACTGTTCAGATTCAAGATTATTCTAAGTGCAGGGCTCAAATGGTACAGCCAAAAGTCTTATGATAAAAGTGAGGCAAATTTCAGTCAAGAAGTTAGAAGAAATGTTCAAAAGAACAGGAACAAATTGTGAATCATGGTGTATGCAGGCTATCAGCAGAAGGATCAGACAATAAAATGAGTTAGCGCAAACCACTTAGTAAAAACAGCTATCAGCAGAGTTGTTCCAAATTAAAAATAGTACTACAAGCTTGTAAAGGAGTTGGGACACGTAAGCTACTTAGCAGAAAATATACCCTTGGTACTTTTCATGAATTTCTCTAATAAAGCCTTTGCCTGTTGTATTAACTTTACTGGAATGATGTCAATTACTTTAGTCATTTATGGTGGCAGTCCTGCCAAGTGTTTTCTATGCAGGAGAAAAGAGAATGGCTGAGAAAGCTGTGCACTTCCAGTCAATATAGATTTTCCGGTTGTGTGGCAGGGGTAAAAAACAGTATGCTTTTATAAAGAACACATCTAATCAAAAGAAAAAGGATAACATCTCCACTGGAAAGAAAGGCAAGGACACAAACTGACATCATCACAAAGGAAGAAATACTATAGGCAATATGAAAAACGTTTAATCCAACTTGATTTTTTAAATGCAAAATATGATGACAAACTACTCCCCTTCCATCAGTATGGCAGAAATGAAAAAGAATTATAATATCAAATGTGAGTGGGGTGTAAGGTAGAGGACACAGGAGCCTTTGTGCATAACTGTGGAGAAAGTAAACTGGGACTTTTTCTATAGGGAAATACGGCAAGCTCAAATATCCCAGAGAAGGCATCAACCCCTGTGACCGAGGTATCATGTCTTCAGAAATTTATTCCAAGGAGGTAAGATTGTTCACTGGAACCTTGTTTATAGCATCTCCCCCTTTTATATTCATTTTCACCTATCAATATTTTTTATTTTTCCCAGAATGGTTTTTTGGGGGGGAAGTTTTTAATTCTAACAGAAATGGTGCAAGCTTAGCTTCCACTATCATTGCCCTGTTTTTCTTAGTGGGGTAGACCAGTGATGCCTTTGTGTACTTCTTGAGTAACTTTGGTCATTTTTGTTGCTTCTGGGTTGCTGCTGTTCCTAAATTTCAAAGGAACCCTTCCTTGGGGATAATTTTCATAATGAAATTCTTGTAAAGTGCCTTTCAGTACTTTAAAAATGTTGTTTTCTGTTGCTGGTTCCACCGTTGGTAAGGTAAAAAGACATAATATCCAGAAATCACTAGAGAAAGTGCTCTGTGTATCACATTCCCGGCTTAGCAGTCTCGCTTCTTTTTTGTTAAATGGAAACGCACAAGTTCTGTTAAGTTGGCAAAGGGAAAACTCTCAGAACTGTGCAGACCAAGCACCTGGTATCCACTGACAACGTCTGAGTGGGTACATAGATCATAAGTGTTCCACATAAGCCTCTTTTTTCCCCTGGGTTGAAGAGGAATGAAAAGTGTAATTGAGCTTCCTTGAAGAGGGACCGGCTGGGGATCCCACGGGAAAAGCCGGCAACAGCAGGTAAACTGGAAGGCTATGGGGAGGTATAGGTTCCAACAGGTGCACAGTCTCAGTCGGCCTCACCTCAGAGGCAACACAAGTCGCTGGGCACCATCTGGGGACCCTGCCTTCTCGAATGGCTACACTGGTTTTGCCCTAGTTCTTTAATCAATAATCACACTCACTAAGAATGAACACAACATGTAAGCATCTAACTTGCGCAGGGAAACAGGGCCGCCTGCAACCCAACAGGCGCACGCACAGGGGCACTCGGGGCCATCCTAAGCCACTTGTTCGCTGGGACCTGGAAGCGGGGAACAGTGCTCTGGCCATATCTGCGTTGTGTCCTTAGTCCTCTTTTTCTACAATGCAGGAGGGGGACTTGGGATTTAAACTTCTAGTGGTACTCAAAGCCAGAACTCCACGTTCATTCCGGAGTGAGCCACCACACCACTATTTCCCGGCAACGTCATGAGGCTTCCTCATTATTTGCATCTAGGTTCTCTTTTTGGCGACTAGCCGGCCCTCCAGCCCTTGGAAACTCAAGGACCCCAGAATCTCGGCTTTCCGCCTACCAGAGGTGCCCTGATCCCCTCCCACTGCCCTGGCAGCGGCCCAACCCCAACGCCTTTAGCTAGAGATTGAAATCCTCTGGAACCAACCACAAGACACTCTGGATTGGGGCGGAACCCGCTACCACTGTCTCGAAAGCAGCACCCTTCTCGGATTTGCGCCCTTTGCGGCGCGCCTGGGCTGAGATCTGAGAAATGCGCCCCGGGCCACAGGCAGCCGCGGAGGCGGGGAAGAAACAACTTTCCCTCCACCCTCTAACCGCAAGGACGGGGTGGGGCGGCCTCGCTGGGGTCAGGCTCCTCCGCTTCCCCAGCTGGGATCCCCTGCTGGAGCTGGCGTGAGGGCCGAGGAGGGGGACCAGAGGGGCTGCCTTCTCTCCCCAAGCTCCACCAGATGTTGGAAAGGCAAACAATAGGGGAAACGCGGAGAAACAAAAGGCCATTTGCCACGATCCCAGTCGGCAGCGCCGCAAGGTCCCTGCGGGGAGGGTCAGTGGAGAGGGTCGGGAAAGAGGGCGAGGGGGCTCCCGAGAGATTTAGGGTCTCTGTTACTTGCCAGGCGGCAGGGGTCTGCGCTTTACCCTCCCTGCAGTGGTCTGAAGGTGGGAAGGGGCAATCAAAGCAAAGTTGAAGGGTTTTCACCTTCTTCCCGAGTTCAAGGAAAGGGAGGGGCTGGGATTCCACATGTTTGACAGTTGTTGGCCCCAAAGTTAAGCGCGATTTGTACGACCTTTCTACGCTCCCCACCCCCATGAGGCATCATCAGCCCCGGGGGCGACCCGGCTGACCGCGCGGAGTTTCCCGACGCTGCCCGGAGCCGAGCCTCCTCCCTCAGGATCAGGACGCCCAAGCGTGCTCCCCCAGCCCGGGCGCACTTTTGTAAAGTTTGTCTTCCCGCCACCCCACAGTCCAACACGCACCCCGCAGGCGCCAGTGGCTCGGGATGGGCTCGGAGACAGACGCACCCCGAAAGGAGGACGATCTTATTGATTTATATGTTTTCAAATCAAGGCCACGGATCCCGGGGTGGAAAGTGGGCGACCCGGGTTCCTGCCGGGAAGTGCGCACGAGGAGCCGGCCCGAAGCCCGGGCGCCCGCAGGGGTCTGAAGCGGACTCCAGCCCCGGAAGCCCGCGGCCGGCCGGCAGGGGACAGGTCCGCCGCCGCCCGCACCCTCCGCACCCGCGCCCAGGTGCGCCCCGCACTGCTGCCCGCCTGGCGGAGATCTCGAGCCAGCAGCCACCGGGCTGCGCCGCCTCCCCTCGCTCGGAGCGGGTTCTTACTCACCGTGGCGTTTTACCGCCAGCCCGGGGCCCGGTCGGCTCCCTTCGCCGGGTCAGCGGCAGCCAGCGCGAGAGGACAAGGGTGAACTCGGGGCAGGTGGGGCGTCGCTTGCCAGTCCACGCGAGGGACTCTGCGGCCGGTGCGCGCGGTCCCAGCGAGCCAACCGGCGGACGGGCGAGCGCCTGGCTCCAGCTCAGCCGCCGCCGCTCCGGAGCAGCCCCCACAGGCACCCAGCGCGCCGCGCAGCCGGCCGGCGCTCGACTGTCTCGCGGGGTCGCCGAGCGGGGACCCCTGGCGGCCGCCTGCGGAATGGCAGCTCCGTTGGGAACAAGGTCGTCTTCGGGATCATCTTCCCTTCGGAAAGACATGGGAAATGACCGGTCTAAGGGGGCTCCGAGCCTTGCGGAAAAGACACTGACCCTCGGGCCAGGGCAGAGAAGAAGGCGTCGGATCAGAAAGGATGCGCTCTGCGTCCGCAACGGCCACTTCCAAGGCACCTACAGAGCGGGAAACGGTCTGCCTTCTTCCGGATTTTCTGATTCTTGAAAAATATCATGAACTATCTGACATAGAGCAGAGCATTAATCATTGGAAAATACTCAGATTCTAGCATGTTTACTAGAACACACTGGGAGTCCCGGACGAACATGGATTTTAAAGCCCAACCCACAGCCTGCCACTCTCTATTTGTGTGCTCTTGGTCTATCTACAACCTTAAAGCCTCAGTATTCTCCATAAATTGGTGGGGAGCAATATCTACCTTGCAGGGTGATGGTTATGGGTAAACTACACACAAAACGTTTTTCAGTTTATAGTAAGAGTTATCAAACATGAGCTTCCTGCCTTCTGTAGAAAAATAATGGGATCGCTCACATTTTTCTATTCCCCATATGATCACATCTTAACGTATATCGAATGACAAAGTACTGCATTCCAGCATTCTTACGACACCCTTCAAAGAGATATGGAACTATATTAAGTAGAAATTAGGATACAAAGAGAAAGCATCCCTCTTCTAAAAGAGGTTTCTGCAGCCAACTACCAAACGAGACCTAAAATCACATGCATTTTTTGCCATATCAAGTCATCTCAGATATTGTAAGAAACGTTTCATAGTCATGACTTAATGATATTAACCCTGGATTAAATGACTCTAATTCTATGTCATTTGTGTAATATAAAGATATCGATTGTGACTATCAGACTCAAATATGAGAAAATTGCCAGATACAAAAACACAGCCAATAAGCAATATTTCCATTCATCACCAAGGAATCTCATTTCCAGAGTGCCCCGGTTTTTAACAGGACGAACTTTAGAGTCAGACAGAGCCATGGTAGCTGAGTCTAACCTTTCTGAATCTCTGTTACCTCATCTTATAAAATGAGGATAATATAGGTAGCTGTCATTCAATGAAGGAATGCATACAACATGCTTAGCATAATAGCTGTCACAGGGTAAGTGTTCCAAGGTCACCACCTATGGTTCTTTCCAGCATATAGTTCTCATGCCACCCACGTGTAGCCCCTCCCTCATGAGTTTAAGAGACCCCAGCAGGTGTTATACTCACACACACACAGGATTCAGTGTCCCTTAAGATGTTATTTGTTATCTTCTGGAATTAGGGACAGAAAGAGAATATTTTCAGATAGCTTGGTATAGAATGAATAACATTCACATTCCTTGTCCAAATCAGTACAGATTAATTTCCATCATTTCCAACTCACGCTTTATATATTCCCCATAAGAAAAAAGTCATGCTGGTCTTCAGTAGTATATGAAAAAAAATTCCAAAAGGATTTTTTTGCCAAACCACTTCATTACAGCTTCCCCTTAGAGGATACCAAAGGAACACAGGGATATTGGAAAGGTGTCACCATAGCAACATCATAATAGACAGATAACAATAGAGTAAAAGTGAAGAAAGCATATTTGCATAGTCATTGACAAGCTTGGACCTCCAGTCATATTGCTCTGGGCAGCAGTGCTCAGAGTTCAAGGACTACTCAAAGTAAATTTGGTGAGAGGCTATTTCTATTCGTTTTGGCTGAGTCTGACTACCCAGTTCATTGTGCTCATGTGTGCTAATTGCAATTGTTACAGGCAGTTTACTAACGAACAACAGACATCCTCAAGACTCCTTCCTTTCATCCTAAGCAATGTGAGTTCACAAATCTAAACAAGTACCTAATAAATCTTCAATAGTAAAGCATACTTCCTCCTTACCTGCTTCTATTTTGTTTTCAAAACCCTAAATAGTCACAGGGATAGACAAATTGTCTCAATGCTTATGGGAGCTTCTGTGATAACAGAATTTATGTTAATGAAATCTGGGTACTGAAAAGAAACAAATGTGCATGACTCCCCCTAAGCATTGAGGTATTGGCAACTCAAATAATAGCAAATTTATATATATGATATATATAGATTTGTAAATATATAAATATATATATAGACATATAAGAAGATATATATATATATATATACACACACACATGTACATTTTAGAGACCACATATATCTTTTAAGCAATTTCAAACCATACAGGAATCCATGTAGGATCTTAAGGCATATTTTCTGCTAGCATACTTCTCAACATTTATAATGACACTAAATGTCTATAGTCATTTCCTCTGAAATGCATATTACATCAATCCCATTTTGTGAAAGTGGAACTAAGGCATAGAAAGGTCAGAGTTCGGGAGCTGGGAAGAATGTATGATAGTGTTCAAAGTTGTTTCAGTGACAGCTGAACAAGATAGTGTGGTTTGGAATCATAAAGGACAATTATCTGCCTTCTGGTCTATAGGAATAAAGTGAATGTTCTTTCCTCAGTTAAAAAAAAATGTATTGAAAAGAAACTATACTCTTTCCTCCTACTCTCAGAATCTGTTTTGTTTATAATGACCCAGTGCTCCTTCATATGTCTCTATCAGATGGTATTTTTTTTCTTATTTAAAAATACCCAAATACCCATGCGGTTGAGGCTGCAGTGAGCTATGATTGCACCACTGCACTCCAACCTGGGCAATGGTGAGAATCCATGTCAAAAAAAAAAAAGAGTTTGTGTCTTTAATAAGTGACGCTTCTCAAGAGATGAGCCTGCTGTTTCTGCTCTGGCTTAACATAAGCCAGATGAGGTACACTTGTGATCTGCCTCAGTGTTCTGAGTAATGGAGAGGAGTTCTCTCACGATGAAACAGGTCAACTTAGATACGATCCAAAAAGGTTAGCTGCCAGGAGAACCAAAGTCTAACAGAGTCACGTCTACAAGCCCATACCCTGAACTTCCAAATTAATCTAGAGTGAGACTTTAGCATTTTTCACAAATAGAAAAATCAGACCACTGTGTGCTCAATGGTTTTGGGATGTTGTGCTTTCAAAGCAATTAACACAGAAAGACACAGAAAGAGAAGAGGCTAGTGACTCATGAGTGCTTCCAATATGATATAACGCTCCTTTCTCCTCTAAATAGGAAAATAGTGAAAATCTCAAATAGCCGTTCTCTCTTTGAGAAACACAGCTTTACGGCTTTTGTGATCAATGCCCATTGCCCTCACCAACAAATCAGTCATTAATTCCCAACTGCCTTGCATTGCAAATACAGGAAAAAACGTCTTTTGTATCTCCTTAGCTCTCTTTGAATGTCTGTGGGAAAGAAATGAAGGAAGTAAATGTTTCTGCTCCCAGACTGAAGGTAGCTTTTGATAAACTTGGAAGCTCTCCAAACCACACCCTGCTCTCCTGGCATAGAAAATAAACAAGATTTTTCATTTTACATCATAATTAAGGCAAAAGACAAAAGTGAAGGTATCATCCAACCTGATCTTCTTTAGCCTCTAGCTGTTCTACCTACACAGGACTATTTTCTCAATATTCCAATTAGGTTTGATATACTGCTCAATATTAATTTCCTTTTAAGAAGCTAATTCACCATTTGGAAAGCCCCTTGGGTTGAATAATCATTGAATTTCTAAATGGCCTCTGGATAGCCTCAATTGCGTTAGTGTTTCATGTCCAGTAAGTAATATGAAAGAGGTTTGCCTTGGGTATTTAACAGCTCTTAATGATGCTTTTCAGGGGCAAAAATTCCTTCTGAAAGGATTTTTGGAAAAGTTTCAGTTAAAATTTTCCCAAGTCTTGTTGTCTAATGCTCAACAAAGTCTCTGTAGAAATGAATAGATAACCTCCTTCCTTCATTTTTCCCTTCCTTTTTTTCTTTCTTTTATCCTGCCTTCTTCCCTCTTTTCTTTCTTTCTCTTCCCTTCTTTGTTAGAGGATTTATGATGGCTAGGTAGCTCATCAAGGTTTCTACCCAGTGTCCCAGAAGAACAATTGTCCCTTTTAATAAAATGAATTACATTTTCATTCCCTTTCATTGTCTTTTCATTTTCCCACGGTTTTTTTTTTTTGGGGGGGGGGGGCTGGTTTTTTTCAGCAGATGATAAATGATGTTTTCATTTGAAATTGCTTCTTACTACTGCTCAGATGATCAGCACGAGAAGTCAAAAGTAAAGCACATGTGCTAGTAAGAGAATCAGGGTGTGGAAAAGGGTCTTTAAGGGTCCAAGAAGGAGACAGGGACCCAGACATGCCCATCACCAGTTTGAGGCTCCTAGCTTGTTCGTGCAGAGCCAGATCTTGTAGTTTGTGGAGCACAGCTTGTTAGAACCCAGATCTCATGGCTTTCAGTCCAGAAATATTTCTTGGTTTGGGAGTTGTTTTTCATTGTTGCAATTGGCCAGTAATTATGGTACTCTTGTGAAAAGGCCGTTTTATAGGTCAATTATTTGGAAGGCCATTTCCCCTTCGTTTGGTACGGAATAGACGTGCTTGCCTTGTTCATTTGGCAATGCCCTGAGCTCTTCAATCTCTCAGTCCTTTCTTTTAGAAACAATGGTTTGCCTATAGGATGCCAGGTGCTTTCCTCAGGGCCGTGCTCTTCTTATATTTGATTTCTCTGTCAACCTTTTACACTACTACATATATCCAGAGTGAGATATAAAAAGAAGAGAAAGAAAGCAAAAGGAAATAAGGAAGTTGGAAGCAAAAGAAGAAAAAAGGAAGGAAGGGAGGGAGGGAGGAAAGAAGGAAAGAAGGGAGGGAGAGGTTGAAGATTATCAGTGGCTTATACAGAAAAGTTAACAATCATATATGCCTTTGTTAAATTTTAATTCTTGCAGTCATGTCTATCATAAAGGAATATAGAAGTGATTAAAAACGATCTCCCTTCCTTCACCCCCGCTCTCCCTACTCCTACCCCACCACCCACCAGGTCTTTTTTCACTGTATCTTCTTGGATGATGACATAGGAGTCTGGCATTATGTGCCTTTAATTTTTTTCTGCCTTTTGTGGGGTTTGTTTGCCAGCCACCTTTCTTATCCCACCTGCAATTTCCTCATTCCTTGCTTTATTTTTGGAAGAACACATCTACCCAGACACTCCTTTCTTTGTTACCTCTCAAGTGGTCTAGTTGAAATGTGTTGACCTTGACCCTTATCAGCAGAGCTGCTCAGCTGACCCCAGGACTCTTGAGAAATAATAAGTGGTTGTGGTTTTAAGGTGCCACATTTTGGAGTGATTTGTTACGCAGTTTTATTGTGGCAATAAATAACTGATACAGATAAAATGGTGGTTTTGATGAATAAAAGAGTGCTTGGCCCATAAGTAGACAATAAATGTTGGGCTGGAATGAACTGGCAGATAGAGTAAATTAATATTCATCAATAGGGGCTTAATTAAATATGTTGTGACATAGCCTAACAAGGGAACAAAGTGCAGGTATTAAAAACAATGAATAAAAATTCAATGAGTTGATGGCTTAGGATGTGTGCGTTTGTCTGCTTATATGTCATATTACATATTAGTAAAGAAAGCCTGTGTGCAAGCAGCAGGCATCATATGATCCCCTTTTAATATTAAAAAACTACATTGTATATATTCACAGGAAAGTATCTGGCAGTACATATTCCAAAATACTCAATGGTTCTCCAGGTAGAATCATAACAGGTAATTAAAATTTTTTCTATACTTATTTATTTTATCTGAAAATGTTCAATTTTATTTTTTATAATAACAAAAGAATAAATTGATAAGATACTTTTTTCGTGACTCCAGGACGCATGGGGTGAGCTACCCTGATATGACATTTTCTCTCTCTCCCCTCAAAGCACACTGAGGATCTTGAAGGACACCAAGGGAGAAGGAAGGCAACAAAGGCAGGCTTTGTTGAACACCAAATGAATGTGCTGAGCCATTGTTCCAAGACAGCTTTGTATTCTGAAGCTCAGCATGGGCCAAACTCAACCCCTGGGTGAAATATGTGATTCCACTGGCATTGTCAGAAGTGGCAAATGGCTTTTCTCCTCCTAAATGTGGGGTGACTGTGGAGGCCTACCAAGGTGACTCTCCCAACAACCAGAGGTAGCAAGAAATGGCAAACCTGCCACGACCTCTACTGCCTGCTTTCTGTATTGCTGCCTCAGTCATGCCCCTCCTCTTGCCTTGTTTCGGTGAAGAGTGTCTGGCCAGCAGCCCTGCCTACCCTCTCTTTCTTCTGGTCCTAGCACCCTGCCCCAGCCCAAGCGGTTCCAGCAGGCTCCACTTCAAGGGGCGCACCCTCCAGGCCACAGTGTAGGTTTATGACCCAAGCATCACCAACCAGAGGGGTTCTTCTCTGAGAATTTATACACGGACCCTGAGGTCAGCAAGCAAGGATGATATAAGCCACAGTTCTCTGCCGCCATCCCCTTTTCACCTCTCTCAGTTATGGATGATTTATCTGCAAAAGGGGAAAAAGAAACAACAAGGGAAGTACAGCTGAGAGAAACACCAAAAGAAAGGGTTGAAGACAGTGTTTAAATTCCTGCATCCGGTAGTGCCCAAGCCAGTGCCATCCCTGGAATTCCTATCTACAAGAGTCAATGGATTCCCTTTTGCTTAAGTTCATTTGAGCTGGGCTCCTGTCACTTGCCACAGAAAGAGTTCTAATACAGTTAATAACCTGTAGGCAGCTCAGAGAATATCTCAGAGTCATTAAGTGTTAAAGGACATTTGAGACCATTTGCCTCAGCATCTAGTGCAGCTCCGGATATGCACAATGTGGAGGGCAGGGAACTAACATTTATTGAGCACCTACTATGGGTTAGGACCTGTGCTGGACATTTTCACATATACAAATTCATCTGTTCCTCCCGATGACCTTGGATGGTGA